ATACGAAATATAAAGATGTGCCTAAGGTCAAGTGACAAAAATCACAAGTAATAGCTATAGGTTAGTATTTACCAAAGACTATGAAGTTGCAACTCTATGTTAAGAAACACAAATTATAAACATAAATAAATCAATAAACTCCCTAAAATTTGTTACGTATAATACTTATCCGATCACTTGGAGCTTCAGATTTTTTTTTGAATATCAGTACAGACACAAGCGCTCATATACACGCGCATACACTCATTTTTATGAACGCACACACGCACGCCATACCTCTATGAGCACCTTCGAAAGACTAAGCTGACATATCATCTTGAGATTTACAAAGTCATCATAGGCGCCTCGTCATCGACGAGAACGTCTCCTCCCACCGAATGCGCATCGCCGAAAATCCTGAAATAAATTCAGAAATAAATGTGAACATCAGAATTTAAAATCTGATGGGCTGAGATACCACAATCCCTCTAACCATCCAACCACAGGTTCTCAAGTGATGAGAATAAGGAAATCCCCTTACACTGGCAAGCTGGGCCCAATAGTCAGAACACGTGAACCGCTCCGTGCACGTGCACGTTCTCCCCTTGACCTACCGCCTTCGTGTTTTTCCCCTTCCCGAATTTCTTCCCCCCTTCCGGTGGCGATCTGCCTCCGACGGCCGGAACCATGTCGAGCGTTTGACCCTCTCCTCCTCCTACCCTCTGCACTAGATCGAATCACTCTTTCTGCCTAGATCGGGCCTCCCGGAGTAGCGGAGGAGGAGGAACGGGGGGCCTTGGAGAAAGGGCTGGGCGCTTGCGGCGGCGGCGGCGGCGGAGGCAGAGCCGTGCTTGCCGGCTGCAGATGCGATTGGGGGGTGGAGGTGAGGTGGAGCATCTGGCTCATTCGAGGTCCGGCCGAGTGCAGCGATTTGGGGGACAGCAGTGCACAGTTGCAGAGCTTCGGTGAACACAAGTGATTCATAATACCAAGTAAGAAGGTGTGGTTTCTGCTCAGTTGTAGAGCTTTGCTGTCAAGATTCATGTTTGTGAGTAG